AGTTGCTCAGTTTCACAGGAGCATCCACCGTATGGCATCAAGTGGCACTTGAGTTTCCCAGTCTCAGGATATTCCGACCAGGTGTGCTCTCGATACCGATGTCCACAAAAGCAGCTGGACGCTGGGCCGACCGCCTTGCATTCCAAACCTGGGGGAAGGCGGTTTTTGAGGCCGTTTGGGACACAAGCCGCTTGCTCCAAGAAGCTAGGTGGGACAACTCTAAATTCTAAATCAAAGAAAGACAAAGGCATGCTTTTAGGAGCACCATGTACCTTTAGAACCTCTACAAGAACCCGAGCAGATTGTTGCTCCCCAAAAAGCAAGCGATGCCCAACGTATGCGTTTGATGAGGCTCTGTTCCAAGGGTATTTGCGAAAGGGTTGGGTCAAATGTCCCAAATCTAGATTTCGCATCGCATGCCCTCCCTGAACATGCCCCAATCATGAGTCCTGACCGTCTGACCACCCTCTACCGCTCTCCAACTGCCCATGGAAGTGGAGTTCACCCCCTGTTTCTTCCAGGTCTTTCCATGGTCTTTCGGGCATATGATTTGCGTGAGAACCTTGGAGGATGTTGAGGCGCGAGTGAGTCCTGGCCGAGGAGCCAGTCTCGGCCTCGGTCCAGAACACCCAAAGCCGTCGGCTGGGATCGCTGGCCTTCTCTCGCAGCTCCTCGTAGTCGCCTCGGAGAGGCCACACGGTCTGGGGATCCCCGAGGTGTTGAAGGTTGGGGATCCATTTCGGACTCCCCGACCTCGAGGAGTCTGGTTCTGAGTTCTGTCCACTCTTACGCTGCGACCTCCAGAATTGGCTTCCCTACTGGGTTCGTCTCTTCCTCAGGGTCGAGGCGACGCATTCATGAGTGATGCAAAGGTCCTAAACAGGTTTGCCTCAAGGCCGTCTGCGGAACACCGCAGTCTCTGCGTTGTTTCATGGGTCTCAACTCCACAGTTGTGCCAGCGTCAATTCCTTCTTCCATCCAGCCAGTTCCAATCCTACCAGGGCACGCTCATCCAGCAAACGGCCACCATCGGAATCACCGACCAACTGACGGTATTCGAAGTAGGCGTCCACATGGCGCATCGCGTCCTGGGATCGATCCGTGCGCGGTCGACACGGCTCTCCGATCCCGGAACGCGCGTGTGGAGGTTCGGAGGATGAGGATCCGCTACAAGGTCACCTACCTTAAACCCATCAGTTAAAATATCGTAAAATGAACTAGGCAAACAAAGCAACACTCGCCACTGTGAGAGTGTCCGATACTGATACAAGAATGGTTGCTGGCCAGCTGTGAGAGACAAGAGGCTTGTTTGGCCAGCTTGGCTCGCGCACGGAGTGCCTTTGTTGGAAGATTCCATTCATTCTCCTAATCGACTCAAACTTAGTCCAAGCATCTTGTGGCAAATACATGGCATGTCCTGCTTGGACTTCGCCTTCTCCTTGGTCGTCCGATGAAGAGAGCTTCGCTTGCCAACCCTACCACCTTGCGTGAGCCGGGGTCCTTAAGACCTCAAAACTCCAGACCATGTCCAAATTCCTGAAGACCTCAAAAACAAAGAAACTGTCAAAACAATACAGGTACCTTTGGCACGCCTTGCACGATGGGCTTCAACCTGCCAGCTCTTTCCACCAGTTTCCATCCGTTTTTGGCCTAAAAAGGGCCGGTTGGAAAAAAAGGAACCTTATCGAGCCGGACAAGTCTCTGATGGCTCCCCGCAGGCCGTCGATCGTGGTGATCGTGGTCGGCTGGGCCAGCGGTCCCGCGAGTTCCTCCGGGGGCTTGTCACCCCATGGAGAGCCTCGGGAAGGAAGTATGAACAAGGGCATCGCTACTAGGAGCAAGGGCCTTACTAGTAGTAACAAGAACCTATTAGAAACAATATATAAATAGAAACAATAAGCTACTAGAAACAAGTGCATCGCTACTAGGAGCGATCGGACGCTACTAGGGGCTCCTGGCATCGCTTCTAGTAACAAGTGCCTTACTACTAGTAGCAAAAGGCTACTAGTAGCGATGCACTTAGGTTGACGATGTTTTTTTTGGCTTTCAGGGTCTGATTGTGCCGTTTGTGCGTCGTTTGTTTATTCGGACGGTCGCTGTGCCCAACTGCATGGAACAATGCTGCTCATCCAGCATTGGTGTCTTTCATGGTCTTTCGCCTTGAGCCAAGGGCTGGGTGCTCTCCCTATCCTTTCCTCAAAAGGAAACAGGGGTACCCTCCACTTCCCGTCGTTGGAGGCAGGATCATTCACGAGCTGTTCAAGCACGGACCTGTCGAAGTGGATCGTTTCGAACGAGGTCCGCAGCGAGGTGCCTGGGTAGCTCCTTGCTACTAGTAAGGCACTTGTTACTAGAAGCGATGCCAGCCCCTAGTAGCGTCCGATCGCTCCTAGTAGCGATGCACTTGTTTCTAGTAGCTTATTGTTTCTACCCACATATTGTTTCTGATAGCTTCTTGTTACTACTAGTAAGGCCCTTGCTCCTAGTAGCGATGCCCTTTGCTCCAGCGAGGTGCCCGGGTAGTATTTGTCCTTGTCCTTCAATGGCCGAACCGGCATGGCGCAAAGGGGAGAAACGACTGGACCGTGGACCGTGTTGTGCAACGCGACCGAAAGGTGAGTGTCGTATCGGTGCCCTGAGACCACGCTGCAACGAGAAGCTACTAGTAACCACGGGCATCGCTACTAGGAGCAAGGACGCTACTAGGAGCTCCTGGTCTTTCTACTAGTAACAAGGAGCTACTAGTAACGAAGGTTCGTTCCACCGCATGCGGTGCCCTGAGACCACCCCACATACGAAAGGAAGGAAGGCCCTATGGCATCCTATGTCTTTATGGCTTCTAACTGGAAGCTGCTAGGACCTGATCAACGGCTCGTGCCTCTGTGACCCAAAAAGGTGTAGATTTGTTCATGTGAACATCTGCCTAAGCCACAAGCATTTGCAAAAACGACTATGGAGTAAGCTGAGCAAGGATCGGACAAATCCCTCGGCACATGGTTGGACTGAGCCATGCTGAGATCAATAGGCCGGGCGACCAAAGATATGAGGCAAGAGGCTCGCTGGAGTCCGCAAGCAAGAAAGGAAACACAATATGCAAAACACATCCAAAGGAGCCAAAGGTTTTTGCAAAGCAGCATGTGCTTGCTTGTGATGGATGGCCAAATGTGTCTAACAAAGCCAGGCAAATCCATCACCAGTACCAAGATCACATAACAAAGGTACCAACCAACCCTGCATCGACTTCTTACCAACATCGACTTCTTACCAACGTTTCTTGTCCAATTAACAATGCTCGTTTTGCCGCTATCTTTGATGTCTCAACAACTATTTCCATATGATCAGGAACGTGGTGAGCATGGGCTGCACTTAGTTGTGAATGGGTTCCGCCACTCACATTCGAGCCGCCCCTTGGAGACGTGGTTGCATAACTCTCGGGCCTAACCTCAGACCTGGGCCAAAGGCCTTCTCCAAAGGTCAAGTGATGTGAGGTATCGGTTCATTTCCTGTTCCAAAGCGAGCAGCTTCCACTGCTCATCCCAAACGTTTCTGACCGGTTCCTGGTCACTTCGTCCAAACCTTCTCGTCCCTCGACGTTTCTCTCGCTCGCGTCGGTCGTCTTTGGGCAGTTGGCACCACCGCGACACGCGAGACGGCGAGGTGCCAACCGTGGGCATCAGCGCCAACCATGGGAATCCAACCAACGAAATGGCAAGTTCAAAGCTGAATCCGACCTCGCCACTGAATGGAGTGGGAGAAGTGTCATAGGAACAAAGTGGGTGGTTTTCGATCCAGACCTACAATCGGACCCTTTTGGCCTCAACTGTCGCCCTTCGGTCGTGCTGAAGCCACGCAATCACACACCCAGCAGATCTCGGTGGGTCTCACAACTCATCGATGACATTGATGTGGAGGTTCCGGACCTCGAAAGGGAACTCAAGAGTAAGCCAAAACCAGCATGGCCTCCAACCTAAGAGCAATGGCCTCACACCCTAAGCAATGGTCTCCAACCTAGAAGCGATGGCCTCCAACCTATTTGCCATGGCCTCCAACCTAACAGCGATGGCCTCCGACCTAACAGCAATGAGTAACTCAAAACCAGAACTGGCCAAGACTACCCTTCTCTTAGCTGAGCTTTATGAGTGGCTTTGCGTAAGCCACTTTATGAGCCCACTAGTGGGCCTCTCATACGGCCCCCCGAAGTCGGGGAAGGCAAACCTCCATATCTGAAACACACCTCGAGTTTGGGACAGGAGTGATGCCCCCCAAGTAGATAGACCGGTGGACCTGTTGGAACAATGTATTGGGTGACTGGGTGCCCAGTTTTTCTTTGACCCGCTTGGATGCTCCGAACATGGTCTACCCGTCGCTCCAGACCAGTTGCGGGTTTGGATTTTCGAAGCTGGCGCCAACTGCCAGGCAGTTGCAGGAGTTGATCATGAGAGTTGTAGACTCTTTTCTACCGCAATGTGCTCTTGAGAGCCAGAACTCTTGGCTCACATCCTCCTGATGGTTGGCCAATCCCGATGAAAAATGGGGTAGTAAACTGAGTCCAAAGTGCGGGGTTTATGGCATGTACGGATGCACCATGATGTACCCATCATCTCAGCTCGCTTTTGGGGGAACCTGCATGTTCGGAGAGAGGACCGGACACGCCGAGGTACCGCTTCATGCGTGTGGCACCGCAGGACGTGTTCCTGGGAACTCATGTGAGTCTGCACGCAGTCCTGGCGACAGCGACACGGAGCGGTAGACCGTGAGGCTGGTGGAATTGAGAGACAAACGCGGCAAAGAAAAAGAAAAAACACAAAGAAAGAAACGATAAGGGACAACACAACAAACAGATACGTAAGGTCTACAAAGGCCCAAAGAACAAAGGGAAGGAACAAGGAAAAGGATTAAACAGTTGACCTAGTTCTCTAAACACCCCGATATTCAGGCTTTCCTTTTCCACGTAAACATCTCCTCCGTCTTTCTCACAAACATGCTGATCCCTGCGGTTCAGGTGATCGCCGCACCGAGCTGCTTCGGTTTGGACCCCGTTGATGAGCTTTTGAACGCATCGATTCGATGGTCGAAGCTCTCGACAAATCCTCGGTTTGGAAGATTCGGCCACAAGAGTGGAAACGGTCTAAGCACTTCAAGCCACATCATGCACCTCCAGGGCTGGTGAGATTTGATTCTTTTTTCATCTCTTAGGTTGGAGGCCATCGCGAGCGGGTTTCTCTCTATTCCTTTTTTCTTTGGGTGTCGCTTTCGGAACAAGAAGCGGCTCCTGGCCTTACTACTAGCATTCTTACTAGGAACAAGAAGCTAGAAGTGTTTGATGGCTTTTTTTCTTGTGTCGCTTTCTACCACCGTCTCGTCCCAGTCCTCGGGCTGCACGGAGATGGGCAAATCCAGCCTCTGTGGGCCTTAATATTGGGCGGCCAGGCCCAAGCTCGGTTGGTTGATGGAGAGCTCGTCTGGAAGTAGATAATCAAGTTAATTAGATATTTAGTTGGCACGTCTTTTGAATTGAGGATTCCTCTCTTTCAAAAACCTACTCCATAGCAGTCCGATACAATGTATAAGCTGTATAATAGTATACAATTTCGTGTCTCAGTGGGAGTCCCGACAGAACGCCTCTTGAGAATGTGATTGATTTGGTGAGCTTGAAGGTGAATGGGGAGATATGGGGAGCCCTCCACAGCTCCTGATCCAGTGGAGTTGATCTATCTAGCCTGAGGAGAGTCTACAGGAGTCCCTCGAGTCATCCTTAGGGCCCTAAAAAGACCTAAAGCAAGTACCAGGACGTTGCAGCATCTTGCCACATCCGCCAGATCTTCTTCTCCCCAGGAGTAAAGACACGCCAGACCGTTCTCAACGCTCTGGCTCGGCAGTGCTCGGCGCAGTGCTCGGGCCCCCAGACCGTCCCCTGAGGTGGTGGAGTACTCCACGAAATTGCCTGAGGCGGCCCAGAGCGCCGGGGGATCTTAGCTCCAAGAAGCCCAGTCTGTGCCTGCACAAGTCTTGAATCCCCGTGAAGCTTCAAGAACACATCCTCTTTGAATCTTCACCCGTGACCTTTTCTTTTTGCTCAAATCTCATCATGCTTCAGTCACTTCGGGGCCTACACGGCTGTTGAAAGTGTTTCAGCTCACCCCATCCAGGGTGGCCCCCATTCGGCCCAATCACAACACGTGTAGCAACAGGTGAGAATACCTTGCTACTCCACAATGTAAGGGGGCCACCGTGGCATTTCAGGCATGCTTCTGTGATGCCTATGGCGTGACCTCGGCAATGAAGACAGGGCCGAAGCACATCCCGCCGAAGCTTAGCACCCAGGCTGATGTCCCAGGAGTCTCAGCTGTCAACTCCACACAAAGCTGCACAGCTTCTCCCGGTTCGGCTTCCACGGCAAGGCGGCCGCAACCGAAGCCGCTGCCAAAGCAACAGGTCAAGGCACAATCTTCCCATGCCACGGTGCCATCATTGCGAAGAATGATCTGAAGAATCCAGGAGCCTGAACCTGAAATCTTTCCCAAGGATACAAATCCATCCCGTTCCATCTCTTCTGGATAGATCACGTCTTGGTTTCCAACAAAGATGTGCTGGTGCATCATGTGTTCCGCTGAGATGGGACGTGGACATGGAGATGGACTGGACTGGGTCTCGGATTGGGTTTCCGAACTTGAGAAGCTCTCGACTTCATCCGCCACCAGCATCCACTCCATGAAGGGGAAATCACTGACCTCAAACTCCGCGATCAGAATCTCTCCAAAGGTGGGCACACTGGGACTGAAAATGGCCCACATCGCTTTGAAATGGCCGGACTGTTCGGGCAAAAGGACTGGAATTTCCATCTCAACCGTCAAGCCTCCAGGGACTTCTTGAGGAATGTCGATGTCGCTTGGCAACTTGGCAAAGCCTGGCGTGTTGTAGAAGAGCTGGCAACAAGCATCTGCGGGCCAACTGACATTGCTCATGTTGGCCAAGGTCCATTGCAAAGTCTTCACCTCACGGTCAAAACATTCTTCAGAAGTCATCTCAAGTCTGTCTTTTGCTTGGGACAAGCACAGCATGAACAAACGTAGATGGTCAACCATTGAAGTTCATGGTCCCCAAACTCCAAGGTCTTCGCTCTTTAGGTTCTGGCATGTTTTGGACCCATCCCCACCTCTCCTTGAAGCCCTTCCATGCAGCTCTCGGGAGCTTTCAAAATGACACACGAAGGAATCTCCACTTCCTTCCAGGCTGCACAGGTCTGAACACAAATCCAGACTGAAGAATGACACATACGTGCTACTAGTACTAGTAACAACTAGTAACAAGTGCCTTACTAGTAGTAACAAGGTGCCTTACTACTAGTAACAAGAAACAAATTAATTAGAATTCTAATTAATAGCTTCTTGTTACTACTAGCGAGGCACTTGTAATTACTAGCAAAGGAATGTACTAGGACCTTTTCGCGCGCGCGCGCGCTCGCGCTCGCGGGGGGGGTTGGAAGCTACTAGTAACAAGAAGCTACTAGTAACAAGTGCCTTACTACTAGTAACAAGGTGCCTTACTACTAGTAACAAGAAGCTAATAGGTTGGAGGCCATCGCTACTAGGGTGGAGGCCATCGCTACTAGTAACATGACTCATCTATCTGTAGGTGCTATATGGTGCTATCTCTCAGTGTCATCCTCCAAAGAAAGCATTTTGCCCAAGAAGTGCCTCCTTCTTTTCCACGTGGAATTGGAGAATCTCCCCAAAGGGCTGACCACAAGGAGTCACCAAAGCATAAGCTGCATGTCCTTCTGCCTTCACATCCAGCTGCAAATCCACTTCCAAGGTCTGCCCAGGTGCAGCTGAAGGCACTTCCATGATGGGGGTCGCCAACACGGGACCGCTCACCAAACGAAGGGTGGTACCATGAGGCCATTGCACTGTTCCATCGTTCACCAACACCCAATGGACCACAGAACCGGGCTGATGAAGCGATTCTTCCGCACCGATTTGCTTGGAGCTCAACATCACGGTTCTGCAGTGCCGAGATCAGCAGCGATCAAAGACTGACAAAGAAGGTTTCGAAAGCTTTCGAGCCCAAAGTCCTTGCTCTACACATGCAATGGATCTTCATCAAATCCTAGACGTAGCTGAATGATTGAATGAACCATGACCCTTGTCTTCAGCATCTGCGCATGACTCATGACCATTCACCGCTGCAAAGCAGCCATTCATGCAGCCTATCTGACAAGAAAGGAGAATGCAGAGTAATTAGATGGCACAATCCCCCAAAGGTGGTTAAAAGGACCCCCATATAAAATACATCGTGGGGCGCCAGTGTCATCGAACCTCTGAAACCACTGAACCACATGGCGAGCGTAGTGCGGAGAGTTCCCTCTGCCGAGCCCCTGCCTCGAACCTTCCCCAGCTCCACGCCCGGAGGACTCACCTCAAAGGCCGTTGTGGGGAGCGAGAAGAAGACGGAGCTGACTAGATGGGCCAACGCTCTTCGGTTGCAGGCCATCGCTCAAACGGAGCCGCCTCCGAAGGTGAAAGAAGATTGTCATATGTGAGTCTTGTAGCGTTTCGTCTGGTTCGCCTATTCGTGCAACATATTTTGGAGTATCGTTGTGCTTGCCGGTCTTGGAGCTTCGCTTGCGGGAGTTTGGACCAAGTGTTTGGGCTCGGTGTCAGTGGGTCCGAAATGTTTCCATGTTGACTTGGCGAGGTCGTAGAAGATCTCACCCATATGTTTGTGGGACCTATCCGAGTGATCAGCAGTCCCAGTCTAAATGACACACAATGACACAAACAAGTGCAGAATGTTTCAACCACGTTTCACCATAAGAATCCATAAGACATCATTAAAACCATTCGAGGAGTCATTGGATGTTTCAATGCAGCGCGCACAAACTCCTCTCGCTCGGCTATCGCACTGGATGTGATAGGCCTTTCTACGGCTTTGCCCACGACTGACGCCCCGTCTGCCCCGTCCGCCAGTCCAGTGAGCCCCTGAGGCAGCGGCAATGTCGATGTACTTGGCACGCTGAGACTCCGAAAGGCGCCAGAAGGGTGTGGCCTTCTTGGGCTGTACCACGACCTGAAAAATGGGAGAGGCTTCTTGGAGGCCATCGCTATAAGGTGGGAGGCCACTGCTATTAGGCTATTAGGGCATGAGGGGGGGGGAGGTTGGCCAAACAGAAAAGGGAGAACGACTTCTCAAAGAATAGCTTTCTCTCCATGAGACTCACAAGCTAGACTCTTGACCTGATTCTTGACAAAACCCCCCATATGAGGAGAATTTGGAATACACATGGGTGAATTAATCCGGACTCCACACTATTCAACTCTGCAGCACCTTCTCTTCATTTCTGCCCCCCCAAAATGCCACCTCAGCCATCAGGTGGCCTGTAAGCCGATCTGGCCTCCTTGGTCGGACCTGTCGTCGGTGAGGGGTCGTAAGGGTGCCTCCCTGGTGCCTTCCATGTCCCCCACGCAACTCTTGCGACACTCGTTGCGCCAAAGGCGCCGGCGAGCGTGGCGAGATAGACGTTGTGATCTTGCTCTTCTGTTCGATGGCCGTTGCCGGCTCAGAGTCATCGTCAACTGGTCATGGATGAAGCTGAAGACCGGTTCCGGTTGAAAAGGGTCTGCGAATCATGTTGCCAGTCATTTGAACGACATCAAGTGGTTGTGTCCTCGACGTGCGGCTGTTGCAGCCACCGGGTCCCTTCACACCCTTCTCTTCAGGTCCACGTCGAATTTTGAAAGTCCACGGTTTAGGGAGTGAAGTGATCTGACGGTGAATTTTCGGGAGCAATCCTTCTGGAATTCCTGGAGAATTCGATGAAAGGAACACACACACAAGGGCGTTTGACACACAAAAGCTTTACACAAAGCAACTCGACCTAGATTTTCCTTTTGATGGGTCTGGTCCGCCCGCATAGTTGGGAACCTGCTGGAAGCTACGATTTTTGAGTGTCCCTTTCATGAGTCGATCCCGGTGACCCCCAATCGATTGAACGCGCGGACCGCGTCGGCTCGCCTGCGCGGTCTGCGAGGTCGTTCCAGAATTGCTCGAAGGGATCCTCCGTGCTTTGCGGCGCGAGGGAAGAGCGAGTCCGACTTCTCTGGACCACAGTGGTCTAAGGCACAAATGTATCCGATTCTCTTGAGATGAGGAGACCAGACCTCCAAACAACATCCTTCATCTTCCACAATTCTCCCAATTTCCATTCCCCGGCTCCTGCCTGGATGGCCATCGGCCCGCGATTTGAGAGGCCCACGATCATCGGCAAGCCCCGTAGACCTTCAGTCACCGGCGTGGACGGATGGCGATTTGCTGAGAAGACCCAATGGGTTCTCTTTGATGATCACGCGTTGGAATGTCTTCCCTGCTTGGCGCCCAACAACTGTGCATCGAAGGCCAGCAATGCTTTGAAGGAATCCGGATTCACAGCATGAACATCACCAGAACCAAGACCTGAACCCGGTCTGCGATGCTCGATCCTGGAGCTCCATCCTTTAGAAGAAATGAGAATCTGCATTCGAAATCCGGAAAAATCCAAATGGATCCACCATGATCCACCTGCCAATCCTGCTCTGCCCGAGGAACGGCTCCGGCGGAGTTGTGGAGGGCCCTGGTCCGAGAAGGACATCGTCAGCTGAGGAGCCAGCAACGCAAAGGGATCCTCAGGACCGCGGCGCGGTGAGCTTTTCGAAGACGGCGGTGCTTTTTTCTCGAAGCTTCCCGGAGGCAGTGTGTGTTTTGGATTCACCACCATCTCAGTGAAGCTTGCGATGTCCCTTGATCACTTCAGAAGCCAACACCAAACTTGCAACTCAAGAGCGTCCGGTCTGACTCGCGAATGACGACGGTCCATCCGTAGTCTTTGGTCATTGGTCGCAGTCATGCCCTCCCTGTCTCTCTCTCTCTCTTTTTATTGGCGAGGGTGCTCCTTGGTGCTGTACACTGGCGTACCCTTCAAACAATGGAACCCTGAACTAGATCTAAACCCCGAACCAAAGCAAAACCATTGGGCCACATGGGTTTCGATGGGTGAAAGGCCACAGCAATTCCTCGGCTTCGTATTCCTCCCATGTCCTGGCCTTTCCTGGGCCACTGATTTTCAGCTCAAGGACCAATGCCATGTCGTCGTCCGAACTCTGCGCAGCAGTGGAAGCTGACTGGACACTTGGAGCACCAGGCTTCTTGGTCACATCGACCAGCAAGGAGCCATCTTGGGCCTTAAATGTGCCAAACTTTGCCAAACGGGTGTAGCTTGGAGCGGTCCCATCACCACCATCTAGTGGATGTTGATATGTTAGTGAGGGTCAAACATGTCAAGGTCTTTTCTGTCTATTTGGACACACTACAAGTAAGTAAACCTGCAACCGCGCTTCGCAAAACACATCCACCAACTGGGGCTCCAAGGGGCACTGTAGGTCACTTGCATGTGCTCTTGATCCGGCTCCCATGGTAGCGGAAAACTCCGCTGGAAGCTGGTCATCATGTTCCCACTGCCTGGAAGCTGGGGAGCGACTGTCTGGACCCCCAGCACCAGTTGCAAACAGTTCTGCCCCAACACATTGAGATCGCTGGCTTTTGGAACTGCACTGAGAATAGCAGTAACTTCTCTTGAGATCCGATCTGCAGCACCTGGTGCGCTGTTAAGAATTCACCAAGCTCCAATTTGTACGAGAACCCGGCTCATCGTGGCAGATTCTCAGGCCCGACTCGGGGCCAATGTCCCAGTCCAACGTTCTATGGACCACTTGTGGGGTCGGGACACGCATTCGGTTTCTCAAGTCCAAGCATCTTTTAGAGCCTTGCACCACCAGTGTGTGGCCAGCCACCTGTACGTTCAACGGCTCATCTCCATTGCTACTCCTGCGCCGAAGGTTGCTTGGGTATCGAAGAACAGGCATGCCCAGTGCACAAGGCATCTGACAGTGCAAAAGGCGCGCCGTGACAGTGAACACCCGCTCAAGTTTGCAAGCTTTTGCAAGATGGCTTTCATGTCATTTATTTTCAGTATATAATCCGCCGACCCCACACCGTGGGGTGAGGCGTGACTGTCGATGTTAGCCTTAGCCTTAAGCCTTAGCCTTAGCCTCAGCCTTAGTCCTTAGCCTCAGACCTAGTCCTTAGCCTTAGACCTAGACCTTACCTCCCCTACCCCTCCGGACCCTTGTTGCAGTGACGAAATCCTGCCCTAAAAGCGACCGGATGGTGACCTGGATTGTCCAAGATTCTGCCATCCCAATTGATTTACATCTTGGGGCACCCTCTCGACCCGCGCGGGAAAATAAGCACGGTCCAAAATGGTCCTGGGCTCGAATCCCGGGCTGGTCACGGCATGGTCCCGGCCAATGCCCTTGCTTTTTTGTAGATTTTGTCACGTTTTCTGTTGGTTTATGAGATTTTCAAAGGCTTTTCTGGCATTTTCCTAGGAATGCTCTAGGCTTTGTCTTTTTGGGTACCTGCTTTGGTGGTGCTGGGTTGGGTCTAAATTGGTAAACCTGGGAGGTACCCAAAAAGTCGACTTTTTGGGTACCTGATTTGGTGGTGAAGGGTTGGGTCTAAATTCTTGGGCAATGATCGGGGTTCATGCAAGAGCTGACGTCCGATGGTAAATCTGGGAGGTACCCAAAAAGTCGACTTTTTGGGTACCTGCTTTGGTGGTGCTGGGTTGGGTCTGCACTCTTAAGGCTAAGGCTAAGGCTTAAGGCTAAGGCTAACATAGAGCAAGGCTAGCGCTAAGGTTCTATCCCTTGGGGGGTCGGCGGCTGCAGGCGGTAGCCTGGTAAATCTGGTGCTGTCATGACAAAATGTGCCCCTCTTAGAGGCTCCAAACGGACAACTTGCACAACTCATGGGCGGGCCATGATTGGTGCCATCAGTTGTGCTGCAACCGACGAGCAATCCTTTTCTCATTAGCTCATTGCTGCGAGTCCCTATATATTGGCCCTTTCAAACAAATGACTGCAAACTTCTTCGGCAGCATTGAATTGGGTGAATCTGGTCAAAGAAACTGCTTTTCACAATAAGGGTCTTCTTTCATATGACATGGTCTGCCATTCGGACAGGATGTCAAAAGGACATGATCAACCAATTTCCATGCCCTGTCCTGTGCATGCTGTAGCCTGGGAGCGATGCCCGCAGTCGGAAGTGATCTCCCTGCACCTCCTCAGGCAGGCCAAAGCCACACAAGGTTTGCCATCTGAAAAGTTCGCTGAACATCTGGCACGGCATGACACATCAGCACGAGTCAGCACCCATCCTGTACCCGGGTGTCTATGCCACCAACTCAGCCCCCCTGGGCAGAGTGTCCGGACTTCTTCCCACACGGCGAGTATAGGAGTTTGGCGGCCCAGCGTCGGTCTGAAAGCCCTTGGTGCCCGATTGCATGGCTGGAAGCATGTGAGCACCAAAGTGGTCCATCAACCCACGGAGAAGTTGCTCCTCCTCGACATGGGTGAGCTCAGGAAGGTGAGAAGTGGCTCTTGGTATTTGGCCCAGCTTACTGGTGAGGGGGGGCCAGTCAGGCTGAGGTTTAGAAATGGCCACCTCAGCCTGGGTTCCTCCACTGCCACTGTTACTAAACAAGTTTCTCCCTCCAAGTTCGATGTGCCTCTCCATTAATGAACCGCTGCACGCTGGCGGGCCTTCCGGAACACCACAGCCGGCTCTTCAAAGCCGAGGCTCAGTGTCCTGAAAGGCTTCCAAGGGTCTGCCAGCACTGGGCGCAGCATCCCCGAGCACCAGGGGTGCCATACTCAGATCTGCCAGATTGGAATTCTCCATCCTTGGGACCACATGGAACAGCGGGTGGTCAATATAGAAAGAAGCCAGTGGGTCAAACGGTATTACAGTCATTTCAGGCTTACGTTGGTCAAAGGAAGCACGAGAACCCCAAAACTGCAGATCCCTTGTTACTTGTTCGACATCAAGTAGTTATAAGAGTTTTATCTTTTCTGAGGCCTGTGGTGGGCCGCAAATCAGGGCCTCACACATCTGCTTTGTTTGCTTGCTCTTCCCCCACTTCCCATCGGCCCCAGATCCATCGGCTTTGTCCGAGCAGCAAGGGACCCAAGTTGATGACGATGGGTTTCCCCTGTGCCAATGCACCCGGAAGCAGCGTGAGGAAGGCGAGCACACGGACGTTCTTCCGCGAACGCGAGGCCATGAGGAACGCCATGACTTTGGAAGATCAATCAGCCGGGAATGGCTGGGAGTTGCCAAAAGCTACCTTTTTCAATCTCTTTCATGTTGCACAAGTTGGTGTGGTTCTTTTGGGGGAACACCTCGTTTGGCCTTGCCTTCAGCACCCATCAATTCTTCACTCGGAAGATCAAACAATCCTTGCTCTGCCGCCGCATGCCGCTGTCAAAAGTGCCCTTCGTCATGTTCTTTCACGGGGAAGGAGAACAAATGACATTAAATGCTGGCGGCCAAGTGGACTCACCACCCTTGCAGGTTTGAGTTTGTGAGAACCTGACCAAAATGTGACAATCCCTAGAAAAACAGCCAGTCTGGCCAAGTGCATGCTCTAGTTGCCATGCTTCCTTCTAATTTCACTGGCAATCTCAGTTGAGAATTACACTGCTTAAACTGATCAGCGGCATCATCGAAAACTCCAAACCATCACTGTGACATTAGTGTGAGCCCACTAGAAACCCTTGAAACATGCACTGGGACCTTTGCAACGTCATGCCTACTGGGGGAAGCATCCTGGGTTACAAGGACATACCATTCATCAAAACATGCCAAAATCAAAACCATTGAATTCTACATGCTCTGGTGACTTTGATTTCAATCACTTGAAGCTGCATGATAGCCCATCAACACTTAGTCCAAACAGGCCCGTTGGAGTATATAGCCATGGGGGCAGTCGCTGAGGACAGTTCAGGTGAACATGACTGAAGACCTGTGATCAATATCATGCTCCTTGCCGTGCACATGAGGAGTGGAAGTGAGTGCACTGACCCACACCTCGCATTTTCTGGTCGCTAGGCGTGTGCCAAGGTTTGCAGTACCAGTGAAACCTGCTGTCTGAGCGCCGTTCTTGTGGTGGGTCGCTCAATTATGGGAGATCTCCAGCCAGCCGCTGCTAGGGCGTGAGACTACTGCAGCCCACCATCCCTCCAGCTGCACCAGGCTATGAAAAAGGTGGTCACAGGTGGACACGGATAGTTTATGATGGTTTGCCTTGGGTTGGTCTTGCTTTACCTTTGCAGCCAGCCGGAGACTTCCCTGTTCGCATTTTAGATACCTCCAATTTTGCAGCTTCTGCCCCGATTGGGGAGAAGGAACCACTTTTGGCCAAGATTTGGGTGGCCCAGTTTTTCACCGCCCACCCGCCGCAGCTGTGAACTTTCCGTCTTCGGCCCACAGGGATCCCTGTACTAAAGCGCATTTGAGACGTCACATGAAGTCACATGGTGAAAAAAAAAGGAGATTGGTTAGTTGGAATATGTTGGAATGCTTGGTTTTTTTGAGGAACAAATCCGGGAACCGACGCTTGTGTCGTCCTTTTTCGACGGTTTTTCTGGAAAAAAATCCGCGGACAGGGCCACCCAACGAAGACTTGCTCCGATCCAGAGCCGTTGATACAATTCGGTCGGATGCGCCCGGGCGAATTGAGCGCATCCACCCGGCGACGGCCTGGTTTTTAACGTAGCTGCACCAAAACGGAAGTGATATCGTCCTGGGCGCAAGCCAAAGAAACTGGTTGGGACATTTTTTGGGGAGCGGTTTTGGAGATCCTTTTCTTTCTTCCTTCTCCTTGGTATGATTCCTTTTTGAAAGTGCAGGTGATATCCTTCCTTGGGTCATGTTCGGGGTGCTGCCCCAACACTGGAAGCTTGGATGGTCCGTTCTTGGAGCCTGGGAGCAGTCTCCCAAAACAGGCGTGCCCGTGTCCTTTGGGCGACAAACGATCCACCGAAAGATCTTGTTAAAGCTTAAGGACTCAGGAACGCCGGGATCGACGCTGTTGAACTTCTATGATCCACAGAATCTTTATTTCCATCTCCGAGTCCAAACAACTTTGGAAAGGAAGATGCAATCAGGTGTCACTGTGTGGGATCCAATTCTTCTGAATCCTTTCCCTCAACATGTTCCAACTCTGTGGGTTTTCCATGGTTTGAGCATCGCACGAAAAAGACTGTCCCACGTCCGGACTGTCCCACGCTGGCCGGCTGGGGGGCCCCACGCAGTAATCACCTCGCGGATGGCGTGAGAACAACTCCTACCCTGGGTAGAGGAACAAGAAGCCACTAGGGGCTCCTGGCCTTACTACTAGCAGCAAGAAGCTACTAGAAGCTTTTTCGAGCTTGATCTATTCTCACACGATGCTCGGATGACCCAAAACGGACGTTGCCAGGTGGCGCTTGCAAGGCTGGAGGGGATTTTCCAGCTAGAACAGGACCACATCCAGAACACCAGATCCAAACCGACCAAAAACACCACAGGACCAGGTCCCTCCAGCGCGCTGCAAGCGGCGCGGCCTTCTTCCGCCTTCCAGCGTTTCTTCGCTTCACGCTGCAGCTTTTCCAAGGTCTTTGCAGGCCCATCCTGAGCGAAGGAAGATGGGACAAAGGAAAGGGTCTCCTTTTTCTTCTCAGCGTTGGTCCAGAGAGGTGCTCCGCAACGGAATTTCTGGCGATGCTGCATGGAGGTTTTTACGCACTCTTGGTCTTGGCTGGTCTTGGGGTCCTCAATTTGAGCTTGTGGAGTCGGTTCATTTGAAATTTTGTTGGCTGGAGCTTGGTTTCTGGTAACCCTCCATGTACATTGTCCTCCCCAAAACTTGTTTTCCACATGTTGACCCGATGCCAGACGGACTTGATGAAGAAAACAAGTCTTCTCACAGTGATCCGGAGAGATTTCTCATGTTCTGCAGGCCTACCATGCGGCCATAAACCTATTCCAACAGGACAAGACTGGAGACCCTATAGGGATCTATGATAGGCCCAGGGGCGCCTGACAATCAACAAATCCAGATCAACTCAAATCCATAGGGTCTACGGTAGTCACAAGGAAACACTATCTATGGACAGCTCATGACTAGATACATTTTAAGGATCTTTTGAGGGTTCTTCAACAGCGTCATCCGTTCATTCGCTTTTGCCTGTATTGGCCCGTCCCTCCACAAGGCAAGAGATTTGACGTGAATGATCATGAATGGCTTCGAAGCTGCATGTTTTCTTGTCGGTGCCCGCCGAAAGCCGCTGGCATTTACAGTGCTTCATTTCCAAGAGCAAGCGGCAGATTGAATTTTCTTCGCGACGGCTTTCACCACGAACTGCGAGTCGAGGAATTCCCAAACGCCTCGGCGTAAGCGCGCCGGCGGCTGCGTGTGCCGCGTGTGCGCTCTGGCGTGCCGTGGGTTCTGGAAAGTGGATCCAGTGTGGTCATCTTCGACTCTCTGCTGCTCCTAATCACAAAAAGGGTTGCTATTGGGTTGGAGGCCATCGCTAGTAGGTTCTCCTCTGCTGAGCCTAAGCGCAGGAGTCCCGGAAAGCTCTGTCCGCGCTCAAAACGCTCTCAACCAACGCTTCTACCAAGATCTACCAGGCGGGTTCTTGGTATTTCGGAGAATAGATGGGGAACATTGATAACAAACACTTTGATTATAGAATAGGTGTTCCTCGCTCTGTCTCTTTTTTCCTCTCTGTCTCTGTTTTCTTTTTTTTCTCTCTCTCTCTCTCTCTCGCTCTTTCGCCATCCCCGTCTCGCGAGTTCAGCCGGACATTCATTCAGCATGATTTCACAAGCTCAGCATCGTTCCTTGATGGTCTAAAGAGTCTATGTTTGCATCCCTACCTTCAATCCGCTAAGTCCTCGACCGTCACTGGCGATGATGAAGAAGACCTGACGACGGATCTGGAGCTCGGGAGCAAATCGCCCCGAAAAGAAGCATTCGTTGACTCACGGATGCTCAGTTTCCTCTAGGCTACGCGGCTTGTTGGCAGGTGTGGCAACCCCAAACTCAAGGGACTTGGACTGGCTTAGCCGAAGGTCGGATATGTTTGACAATCTCCATGCGAACAAAAAAATGCTCCAGCGTACGCTGTACGCAGCGCGTACCGCAGAATATCCTTAAGTCTTGTCGGTACATTCTTTGGGGGGGAGAATTCTGCCTCAATTCCGCTTTTTCCATGCCACAGGAGGAGCGTCAGCACTGTAGCTCCCTTTTGGTGAAACGCCCGGACATGCTGATCAGCAGTCCATTTTGAATGGAGTCCCCACATTGATCCAAAAAAGAAAGTTGACTTGTCCATCCAAGCCCTTGATGTGAATCCTTGGTTTGTTGAGCCGACCTCTTTGCAACGGTATGGATATGGGGCCTCCCTATTTGGAGCCAAGACTTGAAACTTCACCATTCTCGGATCCATTCCTCGCATTCATCGAGGAAATTCTTCAGTTCTTCTTCATTCTGATAAAGCTCGTCCTCTGGCGGATGTGGCAAAGGCTCACGTGTGGGCTCTGCAGCGCTTGCATCTTCTTGATCTGGCGGAACTGCTTCCACTTGTTCATCAGTGGCTGTTCCTGGCAGGTTTGTGAACACTTCACCACATTGTGTGCAAAACCTTCAACTAGATCAGAAATGCAGCGTGTCCATGTCAGGCCTCACTTCCCACACCCACCTTGAACACTCGCACAAGAACAAGCAACAGTAACAAAACAAAAAACCTGCGACGAGCACCCACTTGTTCAAGGCCTGCTGCTGCCTCAGCTTCTTCGCGTTCCCTTTCGGCCCGAGCCCTTTCGGTGCGTGTCTCTTCCACCATGTGTTGCAAAATGTCTTTGAAGTCTGCGCGCTGTCTTCGGCTCATGTGGTCAATGTTCACAGTGGGCTCATTGGTATGGACATCTTCCGCCTCAAGACATTGCACAGCTTGGCGGTTGTGGACCGGAGGGGGTTGGAGATGGTCCAGTTATGCCTCTTGTGGCTGGTGAGCGGAATGGTTTCGGACATCGTAGCATGCCACGGGTCTTGTTTGAAGAAAAAAGAGCGGCATATATGCTTAGCTATAGGTACTCAGTGTTGTTGAGACCTGCAATGCAAATCAAGGCGGGCTCCGTTTGGATCTCCCCAAAGCACGGTCTTAGAAGAGCAGGAATTCCCTCCACCCACGGTTTAAGCTACCTCCATGATTGGCCTGCGGCACAACGAGTGCAACCCAAAACCGCGGCTCATTCCTCCAACAATCACATCATATGATCAAATCTATATGCCCCAGCGAGAGTCGACTGCGCGGACGGCCCCTGGGGCAGTCCCCAATTCTTTGAAGGTTCTCTTCGATGGTCGGAAAATGTGATGGCAAATGGCCACCTACAATTGCTTGCAAGCCTTGGTTAACCTGCAACCCTTCCCACGGCCAAGCTGCAATGTCGCTGAAGATATGAATTAATCTTCTGATCTGAGCGGCAAAAGCCACGTCGAAACTCGACTCCAAATCGAGTCAAGGTGAATCTTTTGGCTGACACCCTTCACACAAGAACAGTTTCAGGGTAAGCAGAACCACCTTGCCACCTTGATTTCGTCAAAAAGCGAGTTCACCCAAAGACTTAGAGGCCAACTTCCCTGGTTGTGTGTCACAGTACCCAGACCGCCCTAGTTGATAGACAGCCCTCATTAATGAGAATCCTCTTGGTCATTATTGTCAACCTATCCATCGGTGACATGAAGGGGAAAGCGGTTTTGACGTTTTGGCCCACAGTGAAATTGTTGGTCACTAATTTACAGTTACTAGCTACTATAATTACAAACCTTCAAATCCACCAGGCGAGGTCAAGCGATGAATCGCCAGGTGGACGGTCAAGGATCCCCCAGGAGACCCACCGAAGCTGGTGCTCTTGGCCTTCACAAAGAGTGCTTAAGAAATCCGGTGATCTTCGCTCGGCTTAGAATAGAGTCTCATAGGTCTCCGGTCTCTAACAACTGGCAAGGTGTAGTCTGCTCCCTGAACGTTGTACTGGGGAAGACATTGGCCACAAACATTGCACGAATGACATGAAAGGCGATCCTTCAACTTCAAACGTCACAGGCACCTGCAAAACAGATCTTGTTGGGATGGTCTTTGGTCTTCGAACATGCCGCCATGCCCCCCCAAAATGGGCCTGCCATGGCCTGCCAAATCTAACAAGAAGACATCCTGCGCGGAAGGTGTTGTGCACCCTCGGACTGAGGGGCCCCACACGATCCTCGGAGACCTGTACTGTCAAGCTGGCCAGAAAATCGCGTTCTTGTTCATCGCAGGGAGACCAGGGCGAGGCTATCCCCATCTGTCGCGGCACCTGAACAGGTCAATCCGAACGGACTCGTGGAAGACCAAGAAACCACAGTCTCAACATCTCTCGACATCGACCACCGGTGTGTGACGCTCGCCGCGGTGGCCCAATTCTGTCAAATCTTGCTGGACAACCAGGTTGTTTCAGCCAAGGTATGCCAGTCATTGCCAGTCACTCTAGTTGATTTGTGACTAATTTAGGCTCGCCACGTGACCCCCTCCCCCCCGGTCTCCTCAGTTCTGTTGTCAGTGTCACTGTCTGATTGATGGTCGTCCACCCCAATCGTCTGAGCTCGTGGTTGTGGGGGTGGCACCATTTCCTGAGCTGCCTGGGTGTTACGCGCTGCGGACTTGGGGGGCTGTGGAGCTGCCTTAGGCTTTGCCTTTGGAGCTGCCTTAGGCTTTGCCTTGGCGGCCGGGCGGGTTTTGGGAGCCGCCTTAGGCTTTGCCTTGGCTTTTGCCTTGGCAGTGGCTTTGGCTGCTGCCTTTGCAGCCTTCTCTGCCGCTTTCCTTGCCTGTACCTCCCTCGCCTTGGCCTCCTTGGCCTCCTTGGCCTCTGCCTCCTTCTGCTGCTTCATCCTCTTTTTGCTCCTGGCGGAGCTTTCTGCTTCGCAAACCTCCTCCACACGCCACTCCCACCTCCAAGTTTTTCTCATCTTCATCATTTTCTCCCGGATCATATCTACCTCATTCTCAGTCAGCCAGAATTGGCCAACCGCGCATGGACCTGCAGGATCCAGGGACGGTGAAGGTGACACCGCCTTTCTCTTCGGCATAGCTCTGTCGGGGGCCACGCCCCCCGGCACTGCTCTGTTGACACGCAATCTTACACACACAAACCTGCTGAAAGTGCCCATCTAAAAATGTCTTCTCTCTAATTATTTCTGTCTCACTCCCTGCAAGGAGGTTTGTCCTGAGCAGAAATTGCAGCCGAAACAGGCAAGAGACTAAGCTGGACGAAGCTTACAATTACAGTAAACCGAAACGTCCCTGCTCTACAACCGTAGGTTGGAGAGAAACATGCCCTTCAGTAAAAACATGTTTCACAGAACCCGGAGAGAGAGAGAGAGAGTCTGAAACTGGCTGCTGAGGTTCTTCCATCCAGAAGGTCAAACACTCATTCTTTTGAGTTACGAATAGCGATGGCCTCCCCAATCTGATAGCGTCCTTGCTCCTAGTAGCGTCCTTGCTCCTACTAGCAGCGGCCTCCAATCTAATAGCGATGGCCCAGCTGCAGCGCTTTCTAAGGCCACGACTTTCTTGCTCAGGTCAACCTGTGTCAGCACCACCTGCGGAGAGTATCAAGCGCGGTAACCATGTGGGCGTGAGAGTCACCGATGCGCTGCCATTGGCTTTAAAGACTGTCATCCTTTGAGGAATCGAAAGATCCCACGATGAACCGATGAACCCCCATAGACCCCACAAAAAATCTGCACAAGACCAAAAAACTCTGTGACATGGAGTTTCCTGGGTTCCATATAGCCGCTGCTTTCAACTCCGAGTGGAGGACAATCGACAACACTCAACAAAACGCACCGTCCATGCCAGCATCGTCCCCACCCCGCCATGACCGTTTGCTCCGTTTGGTGTCCGCCGGACGTCACTTCAGGCCTCCGGGGTGGCCACCACACCGTGGTCCTTGACGGACTGATCGCCCAACGTTCGGGCCATACAAAGACCGGGGTAGTCCTGGCAACGCCCACCCGGGCGCAACGGGCCGCCGTGCTTGGGCCGCAGTTCTTGGGCTGTTTTTTCTCATTGTAATCCTTCTTTTCTTCCAGACCTTTAGATCCCTTCATTTTATGATATCCATTTGTTTGGCCGTAGAAGGTCCCGGCTTTGTTGGTGGTTCGGCTAGGGGTTGTGTTGGGTGGGTAGATGGAAGTTCGAGATCATCATGGGCAGTCTTCACCCCAGACTCAGGTTCGTTGGCTGACGGCTTTTTGCACATGGCTTTTTAGACGGTTCGTCCTTTGTAAACACATTTTAAACCAGTTCTTTAGCCCTGTCTGTCAACATGGAAACCTTTTTGCAGATTTTGGCCGAACTCGAGAAGTTGAGATGGTGAACCAAATGACAATGGGGGCCACGAGGTAGGCGATGGACCGTGGACACCCAGGTTTTGCGCTTCGCTTCGCGTCGCTTCGCCACCACTTCCAGGTCCTTGCCCTTGATGAAAATGCGATGGTTGACCCATCCGTCCTTAGACCAATGGACCGTGAAGGCATGAACTAACCAGGGGTCATAGCCTCCCAGGAATGTGGTGTAGGTATGGTGGGCAGCTTTTCACTCATAAGACTTTCTATGATCGTTCATCTTGAACGTGCAGCGGTGAAACGAAGCAAGACGACATGGCGTAGGTGAAACCGCACTACCAATAATCAAATAACAAAGGGATAACAAGTCTGGACTAGTGACTAATTGCATCTAATTGCTACTAATTGTTGGTATTTCTGAACATTTGTAAGAAGTCTTCGATTTTTTTCCCAAAGAACTTTCCATGATGGATCTTCAGGGAGACAATCCCCGTGGTCCAGAAAATGTGTCTGCGGGCCAAAGTTGGTGCTAAAGACCTACACTGCCCGCATGGAAAGGTCATGCAGGAAGTGCAACCAAGAGTGGGCCAGTGGAAGAGATCCAGCATCACTTTTGAGATAAGACAAAGCACCGCAAAAGAGAGAGTTGATGGAACTTTTCACATCTTTTCCCCATCTCAGGTCCTTTTTCCCAAGCACTGGCCACACGACTTCGCCCATCCGCTTCTCTCCGAGGGGCGGGATACGTCTGCGAACGCACTTCGCCACCCATGGATTCGATACGGGCCTTTTCCTGCGCGAGGTCAGAACCAAGTAAAGGAACGTGCCACTGTTCCCAAGATCGTAGATCGTTTGTAGGGACTTTTTCCAAGTTTTCCCAAGAATTTGGTGCAGGCCGTCGGCTTGTTCTACTCGGTGGCCACGAAGGCAGGAAAGCATGCTCTCCCGTCGCAGTCCTTTTCGCTCTGGGGCTTGTGATCTTCGGTTTCAAAGATGACCTTCTTATCCTTGGTGTCGCAGCCATGCCGGTGCGACTGGCCAGCACCGGCAGGTCATAAGAACTTCATAAGAACTCTGAGTATGTCGTGGCTTGAGATGCCCTTCTCCACTCGAGATGCCGTAGCCGCGGCATTTGGAATCGGGTATCTATTTCTTGGTACGTACCTATACCACTCGTGAAGCAAACCTGTTCACTGGAACTCCGTGTCTCAAACCATTTTCCCCATGAAACTAGCAGCTAGTCAGTTACTAGTTGAACCCACATGTGAGCCTGAAACCAGGGAAGCAAACCACTGGTCAAGCTGCCTTCTTCAACAGGCCTTGCGGCTTTAGTCACTTTGGTCACTAATTCGATGTCTTTTGTCATCACTTCATCACTCCAATCCGTCTGAAGAATCCGTTTTCGCATCGGCTTCAGCTCGGCTCGTCTTGGCGTCCTTTCCTCCACCGGCGTCGACCGGTCGCTCCACCGGTCTGCCGACCGAGGCACCGCCTCGGATCCGATCGCGCAGCGGGAGTCTCCGGCGTTCGCGGTCCAAACCTGGCGGGTCGGCGGGAGAAAGCCGCGCCGGGAGAAAGAGGGGAAGCAGGATGGACTGGGGGGAGATCACCAGCAGCCACCAGCCCAAAAGCATCAAAGTCATCAGTGAAAGCACCAAACCATGCTGAAAAAGGCTTCCGAATTGGAGATCTAATTTTCTTCTATGACTGCCAGGCTGAAACCTTACCTGTAGGTGTTGAGGTTTTCTTGAGTCTTTTCTTGGAAGGTGGTCGCCTCAAGTTTGATCCCACTTCAAAGGACAGGACGGAACGAACAGAGCTGGCATACAGAACGGCAAGACGACATGCCAAAATCGGACATAAACCGACCATGCACCCTGGAACGGGCCCGCTGAAGGCTGTGGTTTCCTCTTAAAAGCCAGCGGCAAACTGGGCGGCAAATTGCATTCCTAGGGAATATACCGTCAATGATTAACATCTTGTATGCTATGGCGGATCCACCAATGATCTTGATCCTCTAGTGATCACGGATGGTGGTACATCCCTGAAAATGCTTCCACCAGCGGAAGGGCTCCCATCTGCGACCTGATGATTCCGAGCTGCGACCGACAACTCTCTCAGCTCTCGGATGGAGCGAAGAGGTTTTCCCTTGCACCTTGTTGCCTTTGAAAAGTGCCGCGACCGCCTGACCAAGCCGTGGGAATGACCGCGGCGATGGGACGAGTCCAGGCTTCCCAAAATTGACTCGCCCCAAAGCCCAACAGGCCACCTTCCAACAGATTCTGGGATATCTTTTTCGGTTCTGCTCTGGGGCCCTGGAACTGTGTCGGGGTCCAACATACCTCACGTGGCCAGCCACTCGTAGGGTTTCCTCAGGGAACCGTTGCACCCACATCCACCAACAGCCTCGCGGAAACACTCCATCAGTTTCGCAGATCAGATTCAATTTGGCCCCATGCAGCTGCCCTGTTGTGGATGGTCTCAGCGGGTTTTTCTTCACTACCACCCACCTCTTCAGCGACATGTGTCACCATTTTCAGCCCAGGTGCTGTGCTTCCACTGGCTTGCACGTCCCAGTCGTTCTCGAGGGAGTGAGCGACCACGTCTTTCTGCGCCTCGTTTTTGGGTCTCTTTGGGCCGAGACCCACGGTTTCGCCCAGCGAGGCAGCCGATTTCGACATGACTTGGGAAACATGGGAAGTGCCAAGCCTCCAACCTAATGGCCTCCAACCTACTAGGAATGGCCTCCAACCTACTAGCGATGGCCTCCAACCTACTAGCGATGGCCTCCAACCTACTAGGAATGGCATCCAACCGTAGCTTCTATAGGCACCAAGAGTGATCCGGGACACGCTGATTTATATGGGTTTTGTTGGCGACTGTCGCCTGCACCAAACGGAGGAGACGAAGGGTGGTCCAATGAGTCCATTAACGAGTCTTGACTCTTCCAAAGGAAAAACACACGACACAGGTAGCCTTCTCAGGTAGCAGGTAGCCTCAGCAGGTAGGAGGGTGGGTGACCTGGACGCCATTCCGACACTCCCCCCCAAACAATGCCCACCCTCCCAAGATACGGGCGCCTTCTCAAACGCATTGATCAGCGCCTGGCGCAGCGGAGCTGAAAACCGAGACGTTCCAAAAATGAATGGTAGTTACTAGTAAACAGCTACTGCTAGCTTCTTGCTAGGATGTGGTTTCTCTGGATCTTGGTGAGCCAGCATTATTGGGATCCCAAGAGATTGGTGCGATTTCTCGAAGAGAATTGCTGCCTCTGCCCAACTCCCATGTCTCAATGCAAGCCCAAGAAAAGCTCCAGAGTTGTTCCTTGAACAAGGCGTGCCAGATTGGCCGAAGAGCCGTGGCGATGAGTCCAGTGAAGCCAATCTTTCGGCCGAACAAGCTGCCATTCTTGGGGGTTTGGTGTGCCAGATTGCCTTCAGTCTCGTTCCTGAAGGCCATTGCTAGTAGGTTGGGGGGCCAAGCGGCCTTTTACCCCCATCCCCAAGGCTGACACGCCCGCCTTCTCGATACCGGATTCATCGATGGTATCCTTGTCGAAGCCAGACTCGTTCACCATGAACCAGGGCACGGTCTGGACTGTGCGGGTGGACACAATGTGGCCTCGGTGCAAAGCAACGTGCTGCCCAGACGCTCACATCCAAGCTCTTATCTTTCCTAGCTGTGTGTCCAAAAGGCAGGCGAAGCTCCGGACACATGTCTAGCGTGTGGTGACTTCATCCCACGAATGGTCCGTCCGAAGAGAACCTCGGGCGTCCGTTGAGGCTCCGCACCAAAGGGCCCGTGACCGTCAAAAGTACAAACCAAGGTGTAGCCACCTGAGCTGCTCGCTTGCTTGCCCTTCATGCAGGTGATCGACCGAAAGTATCCGAAGGTGATGTGATGGTGCGCAAACTGAAGGCAGGTGGTGCGAAAAACAAGGGGAGCGGGGAGCGAGTGTCCCAATGGCAAAGGCAAAAGCTTTGTGTCATCCATCTGGGTCACTTTCTGGAGACTTTCGGATTCAAACATGTCTGTTGGGCGACTGATGGCGATGGGGTGGCCCTATTTGACTCGCCCAGGTCAGCCTGCACACAGGCTTGTCATAGAACAGCGGCATTTCCTACACACACCACAAGGATACTATTGTCATTCCAGAAGAATTCTAAGGTTGCAACTTGCAATAAAGCATATCGTGCACACTTCAAAGTTTGCAGGAAAATGCAATCTAAAGTTTGTAAATGGATCCTTTTCCCCCTTCCAATCGCCATTTCTCCCTCATGCGTGCCGCCCTGCACAAAACCGACGCGGCTTGCTTGCTCCAGGCTGCTCTTGAAGTGGGTCACAGAGAAGTTGTCTTGGTTTGGCGAGGTGTCCTATCACAGAAGCAAACGTTAAGCAAAACTTCGCGTGATAGGAAGCTTGACCGAAACAAGTTTCAAAGTGGCATTCTTCCATATTCATGCTTTCTCAATCCATGGACCACTTGCTGGAACAACATGTCTTAAAGAAAAAGACAACACTGTTCTGTGAAGGTCAAACATGATTGACCATGATTGTCTTAAAGGCCTTCAAAGATAAAACAAACTGAATGAGGAATGCTTCCGACTGCCATTTGAGACCACATAAGGCTAGGAAACTACACCCCATAGTTTGGGTGCCACAAACGGTTGTTTTCCATAAAGGGCAGGGAATACAAGCAGTTATTAGCCACTCCTCCATGGCTTTTGTTTGCCACTGACTCGGGTGCCCAGATCCAATTCGTAGACCATGACGGCCAGCTAACCCCCCCAAAAACAGCTAAGCCCCCTTCTCGGAAAAAAAACACCAACCTTTCAGGCAACTGTAAGGATCTCGGTTGGAGGCCATTACTTAGTAGGTTGGAACCTCAGGCAACCATGTTTGTGGCATCATGCGCACTGACATCGATGGTTCGCCTCCGAGAGGCGGCTTGCCTCATCTTTCCGGACTTTGGAGGGAGCGAAGAAGACCGGGGGTTTCGATCGGAAGTGATGCAAAAACAACATTCACAAATGGCATGGTTTACATACCTCCGGTCCCTCCGGTTTTTCAGCACAAGCGGTATGTCAACGGTCCAATGCTTACGCCAGCCAAGCTTGGCTTGTCCCTCGGCCCGGCGCTGTCCTTGAAGCCTTTACATCCCTTCCTGAAGGCGCGAGCGCAACTGGGGTCAATTCAGCAGAAACACAAGTTGACAGTGGCGTTTCCAGCGCTTGTTGTTCTTTTTTTACAACCTGTGATCGTCACATTGTATTCAGCGGGTGTCTTGTGCTTGCTTCATTCTTTTGTTTTGCGACTGCAATGGCAGTGCCGCAAGAGCAAGCCAAACACACCTCGTCCAGGACTGACTCAAACAATCTTGGAACAACTCTGAAGTGCCCAGGTAGAAAGGGATGCTTCTCAAGTCCCACCTGCGTTTCACATCACCAAACACTCACACCCAACCCCCACGGCGCTAAACAAACTCTGAACGAGAGGCTGGCAGGCGACCAGGGGTGGTGGATCCAAAGGAATGGTTCCATAGGTCACCTCAGCCGATCGTCCGGTGATAGCACATGGTCGTGGAGTCTTGGGTCGAAGCGTAGCAAGCTTCGATTTTTTGGCGCAGGGTTTTGGTGCATTTTTTAAGTAAAAGGGAGAGTTCCCCATTAGCCGTCCCAAGCAATCCCAGGGGGGGGGGGGGGGGGGCCCCCCCCCCCCCCCCCCCCCCCCGTTTTTTTTCCCCCCCCGGGCCCCCCCCCCCCCCCCCGGCAGGTCCCCTGGCCGGCGCAGTCTCTTTATTTGCTTTGCATTCAACATGCACTTGTTTTACGTGGCTGTGGTCTGCTAACCCACGAAATCTGCACTTCATCTCCCACACCCGCGCCTGCCACGCAATCACATTTTAAGGTCAACCCCTGCGGCAAAACAACCCACCATACTCGGTCGCTCGGCCAAGCAACCCACAAACCAACCAACAGGCACCAATCAGCAAAGACCAACAGCAACGACAATAACCACAAGCGCAGAAAGCTTCGGGTTTTGGTGCATTTTCTAAATCAAAGGTTTTGCCTATACTGAATGAAACCCAATGGTTGCAAACTCTCCCAAATTTGCCGTCGACGTGGTGCAAATCAAAGGACTCTACGTCGACCAACTCAACAATTTTCACGGGGCCACCATAGACGAAGCATTCATTCATTCATTCATTCATCAGGCCTCCTTCAAAAAGTTGTAAGGCTCTTCTGACATGTTTCTTGCCATTCGCGACTGTCATTGTTCAAATCGATGTGATTCGGATCCTCAAATGTGATCCTGAATGTGTAAAACCCTGTCTAAAGTTTAAAGCCAAGCCCAGACCAACCCCGTCCAGAAAAGAAGGCAACGGCAAACCCTTGTTAGTCCTCCCACGCCATGGGATCTCCCATAAAATCTGTGAGATCTCCCCAAGATACGTCCATCCAAAGCATTCTGAAACGTCAGGGTCTCACGTGATGTCACTCCCTCCGCTGTTGGGGTCACCAATTATGCCACCTCCTTATTAGTAACAAGTGCCACGCTAGTAGTAACAGGTGCCTTACCAGTAGTAACAAGAAGCTAGTAGAAACAATAGAAGGCTGTTGCTATCTGGATCTGCGGCCTTCGCCCCTTCCTCGCCCCGTCCGCCCTCGCACCGCGCTCGTGACGGGGCACACGCTCGCGCTCATCGCCGTGTTGTTGTCCTTCGGTGATGAGGCCGTGACTGTGACCCACCACCTGAGCCAGCGATTTCGGACTTGACAACCCTCAAGTCGTCCGCCTCATGTTGCTCACTGCAGGTGCTTAGCAGATACATATGGACCATTGACCCAACTCATCTCTAGAGCCTCAGTCTGTGAAGGGCCGCTCCAAATGGGCTCTGGAGTGCACGTAGCCAGCACCCGTAGCCAGCTGGGCATCCCGGCTTTGTTTTTGAACGTCTCATCCAAGACTTCTTGTGGCACCACATCGAAGACCACGCTCACTGAACCATGACGATACCGTGCCAGGAGGTGCTTCTGCATCTCTTCCTCGAGACCAGGGGGTGTGGCTTTCGGCTTGGGGCTTCCAAAGAGAGGGAATCCGCAAACATGCCCAATAGAGGCACTGAAGCCAATCCTAGATTTAATTAAAGGTGACAAACATGTAACGTGCGGCCAGAAAGAACAAGGAAAGCCCAGGATTCACGTCCACTCACAACGGCAGGGCCAGCCAGTGGGGGACTTCCCAGGCTCAAAAGACCTCTCGGTCTTCTCGTTCCCTCCGTTTTTCGCTTTTTCTCCTCTTTTATGGGTGGCAACGGGTGCACTAAAAACGAATCGAAGCGGAGCCGCTAAAGCCCGCCGCCGCGGCAATGCACAAAAAATAAACTTCTGGTGCCAGGCGGCCAGCTGCTTCTTGCTGTCCTCGCTCATTTCTAAATCTCCACCTCAGTCGTTGTCCAAAGGGAACGGCCGAGACGCAAAACATCCATGGCGCATTCTTAGTGCGCCATAACACCGCTGCACGCTGCAAGCCGTGTCATGAAATCGGCACAAGAATGCGGAAGATCCTGCCACATTTTGGTGAGGACACATTTTCCTACAATACCAGGGAACACCTTGAACGGATGGTATGGCGTGCACCGGATCGAGACGGTGTGTCAGGTGGGTCGAATGGCTTCAATCCGAATCGCGCGAAAACACGACGGAAAGGAGTCGGAGAAGGGACCATGATCGGGTCGTCTGGGAGCAAAAGGATCTGTTCGTCTTAAAATGGGTCGAGGGGTCCATGTGCCTTCTCTCGAGAATGTGCTTGGTCTTCAAAACCTTGAGCGAGCCCTTTCGTGGTGGACACGGTACCGTTTTGCC